CAATCGCTAGAATATTCGATGGCTCTCTTGATTTTGTTTTCAATCCACGCGTCATTTTGATAAAGTCGTCTTTTGAATAGTACAGGTTTCGTCGAATGCTAATGTTCGCCTTTGTTTTTGGGCAGGTAAAAGTGCACGTAGATGAGACTTATGGTGCCAAGTTGGAAGACAAGAGTATGGGGTGGCCCAGCGTTGTGCATCCTGCAGTTTGGCTCTATGTGGCGCATTCAATAGTGGCGGTGGTTTCACTTTCATTGCTCGTGCAGGACTTCTATCGTTGCTCCAGATGTGAAGCTATAAATCTATGCAGTTCGCCCGTCTCCATAGTGCCAGAACTTTGGTGTATTTTCAAAGTGCTTTTCAAATCTTCTGCTACCAAATATAGCCGTGAGGCAGAACGAAGGTTGATTTTGACGTAGATATCTTTTTCTTTCTTCGTAAATGTGGAAGTTTTGCGCTTTTTGCTGTAGGGCCTTTTATTCATGGGTTTTCGAGGTATCCCTTACTGCATACACAGGTGACTTTGAGTAGACTTTTGTGCCGGTACAGGCCTTACTGAAGCATTAGCAGTCGAAGCTCCTGGAACCCTCTATAGCGAAGCGTTGGAATTGTCATGTTGTATGGGAAATCAATTGGCCTTTGCTGGCAGGTTTAAAGATAGCGACTCTTCTTCCATCCGTGATGAATGTAGATAATAGAATCGGAAATTGTGATGTCACGGAGTCGAGGCGGGTGACGCGCTATGGTTCCAGACGGTAGTAGGTCCAGGAGCTAGTTGTAATGTAGTTAATGTTACGACTTCCTTGAACAGGCTAAATTTTGCTAACGTCGAAAAGTCCCAACAAGGACAGTTGAAGATTGTGCAGGTAGAATGATGTTGTTTTGGCGTAGACACGAAGAAGAGATAGCTGGGATTGTATACAAAGCAACCGTTACGCATCTAGAGCTCGAGGCACAATATGTATATCCTGGATTGTTGTTGGATGTGAAATTTTCTGGCTTGTACGTTGGTTTGGTATTGTCGCAAGCATTTTCGGTGCAGCTTCCTGCAGAGTGGCATCGATGGCTTGACTCCGAGACAAGCTCATGGTCTCTAGAGAAGAACTCGATTATTATGTTGCGTATACTGCCAAGTGTGATGGAGATAATACCGACGTTGATCTGATTTTCGTCATATAGTCCCAAGCAGTGATGGGGCTTGCTTCATTAAAAACGCAGTTTCGTTAGCGTCTCGTACCGTACAGATTCCTTTCTTTGCGTTGATGAGAGTGAATAGCTAACACTGTTGCATTTCATGTGTCTAACTGTCAAGACTGTTCATGTTGAGAGCTTGCATACAGTACTTCATAAAGTATCTAGATGGTTCAGCAATTTGCCTGCTTCAGTTTTGTCAGTCAAAAGTGTAGCCACATTCAAGCGCAAGACTAACAAAATCGATGTGTTGCAGGTTAAAGAATTAGAAAACTATTGATTCAATTTTCTTCGTTGTTGATTTTGGTTCAGTTCTCCTCTTC